GTGGACCTGGCCAGGCCCAACCCTGGTACGGCCCTCAATGAAACGGAGCTGGCGGCCCCTGGGGTCACCTTCCATGGCTTCTTGGAAGGCCCTGAATAGGAGGAGCAGAGATTCCTCCAAGACGTTGGTGGAGATTCTCAGCCGTCCAGGTAGACCTTGACTTGCAACAGTTCACTGAGTGACTGTTCAAAGTTACAAGCCCCCCCCCCCAGGGTCACGTGATCCAAACGCAGGCGCTGGGCCAGGGGCTCATAGTTACGACGGCCGCAGTCCTGTGAACATGGGGTTTTGCCACCTTCTGACAAGCAGAAGCCCAGCGGGAAGCCAGATTCGGTCGAACAACCATGCTATTCTCCCCTTAACTGCTGCGGCGAGAAAGGGTCACAAAATGGGGCAAGACTCGCCCAACAAATGTCTCCCTTAGCAGCAGAAGTGGTGGCAGGTCGAGGACTACCTGCAGTTGTCTCCAAGGTTTTTTTTTTTTTTCAAAAGGCAACTGGGCTGGTTTTTTTTTCTTCAGGAAGAAGAAGAAAATGTTTCGCTTCTCCTTCCCAGAAGCTTCATCGGTTCTTCAGATGAACGGATGAAGCTTCTGGAAATGAGAAGCAAAACATTTTCTTCCTCTTCTTCCTCAAGTCAGGAATAGAGTCCAGGTGCCTCTTGAAAAAGCACCTTGGAGGGTTCCTCCCCCCCCCCAAAAAAAGTTTTTTTTTCTTTCTTTCTCACCAATTCTCAAAAGCTTCTCCTTGCACAACCAGCCCCGGAGCCTGTGGGTTTACTTCTACACTGATCCCTTTCCTGACCGCTGACGTCATCCGCTTGGTTTACTCCATCGTTACTCCTGCTCATGAAATGCAAAGGCAGGCGTTGCCCAGAACAGCAATTCTCTGAAAGGGGGTGGGGGGTGAGTGAGGACTTGTAGGTGCAAACACACTTTGCAAAGAGGAGGATGTAAGATTTGGCTGTGCAGATAGGCCTCAACTTACAACGGCCCCAGTCATAAGTCGAGGACTACCTGTGTAGACTGTGAAGCCTTTTCAAAGCAGGAAAAAACCTCTTGTTGCGCAGGATCCTTCAGGCCACGATCAAACGTTGATCTGTCTGCCACCTTTCTTCAGGCTATCCAAAGAAACGAGGCCGCCTCCTCTTTTGGGCTACAATTTGAAATCTTTTCTGGCCCTAATTTTTATGGGAGCAGAAACTTCTGGCAAAGTAGAAGCCCCCCCTGCCTCCTCCTTGGGAGGAAGAGCTGTCAGACAGACACCGGCAGCCCCACCAGAAATATTTCCCAGCACAGAGACGACGACGACTACTACGACTACTACTACCACTACCACTACCACTTCTCCTTCTTCTCCTCCTCCTTCTTCTCCTTCTCCCATGCCTTGCGATTGCCTCTTCAACCCGCTGCTGTTTTTCATTCTGCTGTCCGTGGATTTTGATCCGCCTTTCCTTCCCTTTGAGGGAAGCAGCCCGAAATGCCTTTGGGATTTCCTTGTTTCTTTCTGTGAAACGCTAACACAACTCACACGGGGCTGCAGAAGCCGTTTACCTTTCACAAGGCTCGTGATCATTAGATCTCCGGGTCCAGGAGTAAAGAGAAGGAGCTCATCACAAAAGCTTGCACACACACACACACACACACACATCCACCCAAATGTAAGGGAAAGCAAGGTCATTTTGCCTAAAAACAATCAACATTTTCCTCCTGCATACGTACAAAGGCAAAAGTCTTCCCAAATAACTTTATTTTAACCAGCACAGGCTGCAATGTTACACCAAAGCTGTCCGATTCCTAACCGCCCCTTCTCCACGGGCTGCTGAAAATGACTTTTCTACCAGCAATTCACCCCCCCCCCGCCCCACCCCCACTGCAGCAGCTGGAGACCCTCACAGACCTCCCCGTGTTGGCCCATCCTGGAGAGACGGCGAAAGAAGCTTGAATTTTAGAGAGAAAATACCTGCCCACATGGATAAAGGAAGGGCCTCCTCAGACCCCTTCGGAGCAGCCGGGAAAGTCGGTCTCCCCCTCCTCTACCTCTTGTTCAGGCGTCTGTTCTTATTTCTTCTTCGTCTGGATGATTTATTGATGGACCACCCCTGTTTCCATGATTTGATTTGCTTTGAGGCAGCATAGAATGTTTTATTTGGTTAAATAAATTTTTGATATGTTCAACAGTTTTGCCATCTATCTGGGGGGACCTTAGTTCCTAGATGAAGTAACAAGGTAATTATTGAATCGATAGACAAATAAATAAATAAATATATGACTAAGGGTACCCAGAAGTGGGGGGAAAAGGTGGTTTTTATTTGCTTTAAGCAGCATACGGTGCTTTTTCTATATAAAGTTCGGAGGAGTTCAGTAGTTTTGCAATCAATCTAAGGTGGCCTTAAGTTCCTTGATGAATTATCAGTGTAATTGATTAATCAATAAATAAATAAATATATGATTAAAGGGCCCCAGAAGTAACGTGGATTTTATTTGCTTTGAGGAAGCATTGTGTGTGTGTGTGTGTGTGTGTGTGTGTGTGTGTGTGTTATATAAACACTTTGGAAGTGTTCGGTAGTTTTACAATCTGTCTAAGGGCATTTAGATCCTAGATGAATTAGCAAGGTAATTAATTAATCAATAGATAAATATGTGAATGAATATATGATAAAAACACGGATTTTATTTGCTTTAAAGGAGAGTCATGATTTTTATTATATAAACTTTGGAAGCAATCAGTAGTTTTGCAATCAATCTATAGGCGGCTTTAATTCCTATTTGAATTAGCAATGTAATTGATTGATCGATAGAGAGATAAGTAAATAAATATGTAAGGGAGCCGAGAAGTAAAAACGTGAATATCTGAAGCATCATACACCCCACCCAAAAAAGAAAGATTGCTGTGGGAGATCAAACCGATATGCTTCCTTACTGGCGTCGTGGACAGATACGAACTATGCATATCCCTCAGAAAAAAGGCAAGAGGTATATTCCATCCTTACTCCAGCAGGAGGCTGCCCACGACTGTGCTACAGAGCAGCAAAGCCATTCCTGAAATATAGTGTAGCAAGCTCTGGGGGAGGGTGGGGGGGGATGCACATTTAGTCCGAGGTGGGGTTTTGCAGGGCCTTTCCAAGCTCCCTTGGGTCACTCGGTTGGGAGAACTCAGGAGCTTTTGGACGGTGCTAAAAAGGGCCTTGGAGCAGGAGGTCTCCCACTTTGTGGCCCCGTGAAGCTTTGCTGGCTGGGCAGTTCTGGGAATGGAAGCCCACCAGGCTTCCAGTGGCCAAGGTTGGAGAGCCCTGTCTTGGAGGACGCTCTGTTGTCCCAAAAAAACTAATTTGGGGGGGCAGGGATAAGGAAAGTTGGTTATCTTGTTGGAGAGGAGGAAGGAATAGGGCCGGAATCTTCTCCTCCTGCATTCCGGCAGGTGTCGGTTGCAACCTCCCCCCCATCCTTCCTTCAAGCGGGGGCTCCAAAGCGAAGCCCCCGCCAGTCCACCGAAGGGAAGAGGATTCCCTGGCCCTGGGCTTTGCGTGAGAATGCAAGCCCCCCCCCCTTTCTCTCTGCCTGTCTCTGCTACCCAAACCTTTCCCCTCCCCTCCCTCCTTTTCCCCTCCAGCCTGAGTCTCCTCTCCTTTTCTCTTTTGGGGTCTTGGTGGTTGTTCCAAAGGAAGCGGCCCCCGTAAGAAGCCAAGGCTCCCGGAAGGGTTTCGAAGGTCACTCGTTGGATGGCTTGGTCCTAAACGGAGGCAACGGGTTCAAAATTCAGGACCAGGGAGCAGCATCGCCCAGGCCTTTTCC